ATTCTTGAAACGGAAAATATTTGATGGATTCCTCATTGTATACAAAAAGAAATAAAAATTGACAGATTTCTTTTCTATTTCTACTCTACTTCTGAAAAAGTTGACTATTTTTTAGATTGGTTCATGAATCTTAAAAAGCAGACTCTTAATAGAAATGTGGGATTATGTCAATATTTGTAATTCCTTAGTTTCCTTTTATATAAATAATACTTATATGTTAAAAATTATAGATATTGGCTCTTAAATAAGAATAAGACCTCGAACATGGTATCTAATAAAATTTTGTCGTGAAATGAATATAACATCAAAAGGCTATAGCATATTGAAATGGCTTGTTGATGATTCGTATTGAATAGTCAGTTTCTTTCAATTACATCTCCAGAACTCAACTTATAAGTATATATGTAAATATTGATGATGATCATTTGCACTTTTTTCAATTGATCTATATAAATAATATGTAATTAATATGAAATGTTAATTTACTTTAATGTGCTCCAGTAAGTCTGCTAATTATATTTTTACTTCTATTAAAAAAATTTATCATAATGTAATTCATTAACGCCTAAATAAAGGAACTAAGATGTTTAATCTTGTCAGTCTTCCGACCTTATTTGTTTTATTTAGTAATAAAATAATATTACTAGACCGATTCAGCTAATAAACGCTGAATCTGAGCTTCAAATTTGGCAGGTTATGAATTCAACCCTTGGTACTTGCAATCGCAAAAAATTATTTACGTATAATTAAATATAAGAAATAATTCCAAGATCACTGATAATGGATTTTTGGCAATACTCGAAACACCATGCAGCCAAAAATTCAATTAATTAAAATAATAAAAAAGAAATTTTGTTGTAGTTTGGTATTTTTCGAAACCTCTCTATAATAATAGAATTCTATTTTCGAATCACATCTTTTTCAAAGGGAATATCTAGATCCTTATGTTATAAATACTCAAATCCGTTGAATTTTATAATTTGTGATATATTTTTTTTATTATTGCTGAATGGGAGATCGAAGATTTGTAATTTTTGTAGTTTTCAAACATTCGTAGTTTTATCCAGTCGACCTACAAATAATTTTTTGATTTCCTTGATATACATTTAATTAAGAAGTGGTTTATAACCGAAAGAAATAGCTACTTGGCAACACTCAATTTAACCGCTACCTTAAAGAACTAATTCATCACTACAATGATCCCAACAACGATTCCTACTCAGTAGAACAAAACTGAAACTATTGGCTGGTTATGTAACGGTCATCATCTTATAAGGACCGGTTTAATCAAGAGACATAGTATCATCCGCAGGTAGGCGGATGACCCTAGGCATAGTTTTTGAAGCTGTTCATCTGGATCAGCAAAAGATTATTGGGCAAAGAGTTTTTATTCGCGTCTGATGTTACGGTGACAGTTCTCAACCCATAACCTGTTATTCTGGGTGATGGGTTTTTGCTCATTTAAGGTTTGTTGTTTAGTTAAAGCACTAAAGTTAATCCACTGTCATCGTGCTTTGCTCCGCTATTACAATTACTTTTTATCTATTAATGTTTTTCTACAATTACCCAAACTTAAGGTAAATCACAATTTTTTTTTTTTTATCTACAACTGAGGTTAAATTGAGTTATTTAATATTCTGCTCAATGTTTGTAAATATTATTATTTAAGTTAAAATAATTTTTATTTCTTAGAAAGCATTTAAATGAGATAATTTTATCCAAAAATCATACTAATTTTGTGGTGATTTTCGAAAAAATTACAAAATTTTTTGAACTTATTTATGTAGTTAAGAAAAATCGTTGACTATTAGAAGCGATTTACAATAAAGAAATTTATATTTAATTGCATTTAAACATTTATTCGTAGCACACGTGCACTTAATTTAAAATAAAAAGTTTTTATTTTTATTTGTCAACAAATGATTGAAAAATGTTTAAAACATTTAAATTTTTTGATTATTAATGTCATTTATTTAACATTTATTTTTTTTAGGATAAAAAAATCACACATTATATTTTAACTGTATTGTTCAGTTTTAGTTATAAATATTAATATATTGGAAAGTATAAATTCTTAAAGTGGATTTAAGATATTTCTTTGAATATTAGATCGCGTATTTTTTTAGCTATATAAGAACTTAAAATGATTATACCTATGTTTAATAAATATATAATAAATTATAATATATATAAATTATATATTATAATAAATTTTAGAATGGACTTTGTTCATTAAAAATCATTTGACGTTATTAGATGTATTAATTAGAAAATTTGATGGTTTCTAAATTATTACATTAGCGAAATATTAATAAAATAATTTTTAATATAGTTATTCATTTTGATTTATTTAATTTTAATACCGTTCACAAATTTTCCATTTCACTTTTTTTAATACCTATTTTATCATTGCTAAGTATTATTTGTTAGAAATACTTTCATTATTTACTCAACGTGGTTATATACAAGACAATATCCATATGTCTTACCGATAATTTCATAATATTCTAATGACATTAATTATTAGATATAAGACATTAATGTTATTATCAATTTTAGTTGGAAGCATTTTAATTTGCTAATCACAGCATACTGACAGTAATGGTATATTCGGAGGAACTAGGCTTTATGGATATAGAACTAATAATCCATAAGTTCGTAGTGGCTTCGGTTGATTGAGAAGTGGCAAAGGCAAGTTATGATTTCTTTCGATTCAATAAAAATCTTTATTTTGTTTTAGTTGTTATAAATATTTTCCAAAGGTTTTGACTTTTACAATAATTTTTTGTTGTAATTCCTAATGTGATACATCAATATACATCAATATTTTTATATAATTTTTCGGTCATTTTTCGCATGCTATGAAATATTTCAGTAAAATTGCAATAGGTTGACTATATTAAATAGATGTGAAATAAATTACATGTTAGAAACTGAGATTCATTAATTGTTTGTTAACATAAACTATTTCCATCAAATTTTATGATTAATGAAGTATTTTGTTAAATATGGTTAATTTATAATGTTATTTATATCATAACATCACTACTAAGAACTGCTCATGGCGCAGTATTGAACATATTTTTTTTATTAAACTTAGTAAATGAATTTATAATTGTTATTATAATTAATTAATATTATTATTAATAAAGAGGTTTTCGAAAAGTAGTGAACTACAACAACAAAAAATCTTTTTTATATTATTTTAATTAGTTGAATTTTTTTCTGACTATACATCTGTTTCAAGTATTGACAAATACCCATCATCAGTGGTCTTTGAAAAAATTCTTATATTTGATTATTCGTAAATAATTTTATGAGACTGCAAGTACTAGGTATCAAACTTGTGTCCTACCAAATTTGAAACTCAGAGTCAGCGCTCCTTAATTATATAAATAATTAATAATTCTTAATATAAATATTATTACCAATTAATATTAGTAAATAATTATTGTAGTGCAGATACACTACGAGTTAAAATTTTTTAATTTTCTTATGTTCATTTTTTACATATCAATACTTTATTATTTTTCACACATTACTTGCTAATTAATTTTCTTTTCACACTGTATTATATACTGTATTTTTAAAACAAAACACATATATATTGTACAACATATTATTAATTAATTCTAATAAATTTGTTTACTTTCATCAAAGAAACCAATAGACACCGCTTTAATTGATAATTACAGGAAAAGGGGGAGTGTTTAAAGGAAAATTATATTGATGTTTCGATACTACAGTTTATAATAATAATTAATTATTCAAATATTTTTTGAAATTTATCGTGGGAAGTTTAATTTAAAAACTAAATATAATTAAGTACTTGATAATTAACACATCAATTGTATTTGAATTTTAATCACTTTTGTTAGGTGAATTAATTACTTTAATGAAGTTATGATAAATGACGTGTTAGGTGATTAAATTAAAGAAATCATAAAGTTATTAATAAATATTATTCATATTTATGAATTAATAAAAAAAAAATGATGATGACTATAGATTATAGTCGAAATATTGGACAATAAAAATCTTATAAAACCAAATAATACAATTTTTTTTTTTAAAAAAATATCATTATTTAATAACTGACCAATTAGCCCGTGAAATAATTATTTTTATATAAAAAAATATTAAATTAAAAAAAAAAATAATAAATAAATAAATAATTTAAGATAATAATTAAATCATAAAATATTTTTAGTAAGTTCAAACAAATAACTAGAATTAATTTTTTAACAATTTTCTACTAAGTTGCCGCTATCATCTAAGTATTTAACTATATTACTAGGTAAGGTCCATAACATAGCTAACAGTTACTAAGTATGGTTAATTTTTACTGTTTTAAGGACTACTACTAAGCTTATTGCCAGATTTACAGTTAGAAGGGTTAGCTACATCTAAAATTAAGTAAGGTTTTTTTCTCATTCCCAAAAGAATTACATAGTAATTCTTAGCATATGGCCACTTTTACTATTAGAAAGATTACCTACATCTAAAATTAAGTAAATTTTTTTTTCATCCATAAAAATATTGCATAGTTATTGACACATAAAAATTACATTAATTGTTGAACTGATATTAAAGATAAGAATTTACATAAGAAGTTTTATTGAAGATAATTGATTTAAAATTTAACTATTATGTACAGGTGGATATTGGATCATCAAGTCATCTCATCATACTGATGTATATATATGTATATAATAGTTGTACGTACATATATCACGACGTTACAAATATATCAGAAAACTTTATAAGTCCTTTAAGTGCTAAGTGCACAAAGGGTATTTATTTCTTTGATATTGAAAGTACATTATCTTTTTTTTTTGTAACTGTTTACATTTTCATAATTTATCTGCATAAATTTCAGATAATAAACAAAAACAAATAAATTAAATAAAATTAATGTTTGTAATGTAAGGAACTATAAAAAAAACTATACTTTTTTAACTTTTTATTAGTTTTTTGTATTAAACATAAAATTAAATGAACTATTTGCGACGATATCCACCGCCGCCACCACCACCGTATGGTCCACCACCACCGCCACCGTATGGTCCACCACCACCGCCACCGTATGGTCCTCCTCCACCACCTGATGGGAAACCACCGCCTCCACCGCCTCCTATTGGGCGACCACCACCACCGCCACCATAAGGTCCACCACCTCCACCACCAAATGGCCCTCCTCCACCACCACCTCCACCATATTGTGCTTCGCACACTAAAATGCTGCCGACTAAAACTGTTAACAAAATGAGCACCTTCATCGTAACTTAGAATATCGAGTTAAGCAATTCGACTTCGCCTTTTATACAAAAGCTCTCAATAAATTAACTGCGTTTTTGTTGTATTTTTTTTTTTAAATAAAAGTATGTAGTGAAAAAAATAAAATTAATGCGAAAAATGGAAAATTTGCAAACGTGATTAAAATTAGATAAACCAACTTTAAAATGAAATCAAATGAGTTATTGCAAAGCTGCTATCATCTTTATAGATATTTTCTAAAGAAATTATAAATGATAAACAAAAATATTAAAGAAATGTTAATATTTATGTTTAATATTTAATAATAATTAATAGCAATTAATCAATTAATTATGATAGAATAAACAATCAAGAAAATCCCTTGGTACAATATAAGATTTATATGAATTGAAATGAAAATACAATTCAACCGGAAAAAAATTTTGTATAATGAGATACAAATGTTAAAGTGCATATTAAAAGGTATGATTATTAAAACAATTAAATTTATTAAAAAAATAAATTAAAATCAATACAAATAATTGTGAAGTAATTGGATCGATAATTGTGATTTCAGATTGTAACTAATCATTACTTAATTATATTTTTTGTTCACATTTATTAATTCCGGTATAAAATTCTATAAAACTTTAAAGGATAAATTAGACATAAAATCTGCTCAGGTTTTTGCTGACTGTATCTCACACTGAAGCCAAATACTAATTGACAATAAATTAAATATTTATTTTTATTTATTTATTTCATTTAATTGCATTCAGAAGTCATTACAGAATTTTAATTTGCAACTATTTTTTATGACGTATTTGCAGTCTTATAGCATATAATAATATAATAGATAGAATTTATTACTTTAGACAATGATTAATGGCATGTCAAAACCACAATCAGATTAGTTAGTATATGAAAAATATGATTGAAAGCTCTTGTTTAAAATAATTAATCATAGGTTATGATATATAACCTATACTAATAACACCAAAGAGAGTTATATTTATAAGTAGCTAAACCACAATCAGATTAGTAGGTATATGAAAAATATGATCGAAAGCACTTTTTTAAAATAATTAAACATACACTCAGAAAAATATGATTCAACCAGACTTTAACTAAATCTCAGCTTAAAATATTCTTACTCGACACATAATATTGATTCAACCATATGTTGATATTAATATCTTCTTTACCACATGAGTTAAATTTTTTCTAAATGATCAGGTTAAATAAATTAGTATGTGGTTAACGCATATTTTTCTGAGTGTAGGTTATAATATAAGGAATTATTAATTTCACTAATAATACCAAAGACAGTTATATATGTAAGTGGCTTGAGATTTATGGCTTCTAGAACTAAATCGATTGACTTTTTTGACAAAACAATTTTATTTTTTATTGAAGTATTACTGATTTATATAATTTAATTAAAAACAAGGTATAAATAAAAAATTATTAAAACAAAAATATAAACATATTAATAATTTATTAGAAATCCATGCTTTTAAGTACTCAGTGTATAAGAATAGTAAAATATCGTGCTACTTTTTTTTTATATTTTAAACCTGTAGCACGCAACAATATTGACAGCTTTGAAATAATTTTCAAGTCCAAATCCCATATAATTTTATAAGACTGTAAGAATTTAGTAGAACAGCTTAATTTATCATTGAGAAACCACAAAAATTTCAAAATTCACTTTAAGTAAGATATTCAAAATTTCTTGGTATGTCAAAAACTCTGATATTCAGAGATATTTTTCTAACGAAACTATTATCAAACATACAAAGGTTAGAGTACCTAATCTATTCAGCTAAGTTTAGACGAACTCAATCGACGGAAAGAAGATTTTCCGATATCCGTTTTGTCATACTTTAAACAAAAAATGTATTTTACAATGAAAATGATGCAGATTGCCAGCTTTTCCCAGTGTTTTACAAATGATACATTTCCTTAGAAGAAGTTGTGCTAGCTGGTACTAACTCTATTAAATCTCAATTCACTATTAAATATTATATTATTAAAATAATTATTGAAATAAATGTCGGATAATATAACACCAACCTATAATTTCTCCCGCTCCGACTAGAAATTTCTTAATAGTCACCAGATGTATGTGTTATACAATGGGGCTAGGGCTTAAATTGATCCCTTAGGAGTTCCGGATTTCTACATTCAGTTCAGTGGTTCCAAAGTATTTACTAATTATTTCATTTTAAAATATTTTTAATTTTGAAATTTTTATTGACCTGTTTTTTTAAAAATACATTTTTTATCCGGCTATAGGTCACTTTTTGTTAAAATTAAAATTCATATATTTCGACTTTCAAGAAAAGTAGCTGGATAAAAAATATATAAAAATCAAATATATATTTAAGCAACCACACTAAAGGACGTAAGAAAGTAATGTACTACTAAGATTACAGAGAGATCTGTCTTTTACCTGAATTGACAAAAATTATACAATAGTTTTTTTTTATAAATACGTTTTTTAATAAAAGTGAAGGATATTAAAAAATATCAAATGTGTTTAAAAAAAAAAGATTTGGGCGAAATGGTATTTTAGCATAAATACCAGATAATAAATTATCAGAGTTAAGATATTTAAGTAGAACTCATTTTTGAAACAAAAATATAATTTAAGTATGGGATTAAGTACTATAATTTGATCTACTTAATTTGCTAAGATCTAAGCTTCAGCTCAGACAGAAGACACTAACTAGCTAGCGGGAAAAAGTATAATGGATATAAAGGGTATGGATCAAAGAACTTTCCAAAAGTAATTAAAGATTTATGCAGATAATTTTCCAGCATATCATTTTCACTGTAACTGAAGAAACTCAAGTTTTAAACCATTTGTTAATGCTTTCTTGTAGTTATAGAATATACTTGCATACTTTAAAAAGGTCCGGAGTTACCATATAATCATGAAAACAGTATAATACCATATATGTTAAATCGAAATTCTTCTATTAATTTTGCAACAAGGGAAAACTATAGTAAGCAAAATTTTTACAAATGATTAACTAGAAATTTTAATAATTGATTTAATATATGAAAATATAGGTAAAACGATTCAACTCATATCGTTCGACAATCATCGTATTCGCATTATTTAGTACCGTATAAATTTTGACTACTCTCTTGAACTAAACCCTTCTGAGGATACAGGTTTAGCACGATGGAGGAGATAAAAACCAAAACCAAACCAAATCTTTTGGAATCATTCACTAGTTTCTGGGATTAACAAAACGTTGGATAAGTATATCGTTTAGAGGGAGTAGTACATTGAAGTCAGTGAAATAGACTTAGTAGAAGAAAAAAAAAACTTAAAAGTGTTTAACAATTTTACCTCTTTCTCTGTTCACAGTGCTATACCATCAAACTTAGTTCTCTAGTATCTCTAGTTCTCTAGTAAAGAGAGTAGTACATTGATGTTAATGAAATAGACTTAGTAGAAAAAAAGAAATTTTTAAGTGTTTAAAAATTTTACCCTTTTTCTGTTCACAGTGCTATACTATCAAACTTAGTTCTCTAATATAGAGTAGGGGGTTTGATTAAGTTAAATTTCTCAAGTCTCATTAGCAAGCCATAGAATTTCTTCTGTTCATATAATGGTTCAACTTCTTAACGCTAAAGTAAGTAACGTTTTTTTTTTAGGATAGGTTGCTTGTCTATTTACTATCTGAGCGTAGACTAAAATACATTATTCTGCTATATAAAGCCATTTTTGAAGTTGTGCTGAATATGTACGATATCAGGTGTAATTACAATTATGCAATGTATTTAGGATTTTTAGTATTTGGATTTTTATTTATTATTATTGATAAGATAGTAAGATTTTAGATGGAAATATTAATATATATATTCTGATATAAGAGAAAATGATTTTAATCTGACAATTAACAAGCGTTAACCGGAATTTATTGAACTCAAGAAGCAATTTTATTTTTTTAAATATTTTACTTTATAAATCTCTGTGGGTTTTTGTTACTTTTTTATTAAAACGAAATCAAATATATTAATTGAAAAATAGTTAATCATTATTTAGAGTATATGTTATTTGAATATTTTGACATAGTAAAATCCCAAGCTTAGTATTTTGTGTGACATGTTAATTGCGAGTCAAGCCTTAAATAACGTAAGGCTTTATTATTTAGAGAATTGGAAATCGCATTAATGAAAATATTGAAGTTGTAGTATAAAATAAAATAATTAAATTTAATATATGCAAGCTTAATGATTTCAATTTCTATGAATAATAATAAAGATTTGAAATGTGTGATTCGTGCCTTAGTAAATACATAAACTTAAGCGATTTTCGCTTTGTTGAGATAACGAAATTATTGGAAGCTCAAATTGCGTTGCGTGGTAAAAACCTTAGTTTCTGATGCAAACTAGAAGATTATTCCGATACGTTCATGGCGCGCTAAGGAAAATCCAGCAAGTTCAGTTACTGATAAAGAATGTAAATATTTATTTCATTTCGATTCATGAATAGTATAAAATCGAATTAAATCAAAACGAAAACTACATTCTTAATTGAACGTTTAATTCTAAAACAACATGAAGTTTTATACAATTTTATTTTTTGTATTAGCAATTATTGCTTTTGCTGCTGGTGAGTTTAATAATTTTCTAAATTATTATTAAGCATAATTTTAAATAAAATAAATTTATTTTATAATTTAGCCTATCCTAGTCCTGGAGGTGGTGGTGGTGGCGGCGGAGGCGGAGGTGGCCTTTGTGGTGGTGGTGGCGGCGGCGGCGGCGGTGGTGGTGGTGGTGGTGGAGGTGGTGGCGGCGGCGGTGGTGGTGGCGGTGGATGCTAAGTAGTTACCTTCAATAGTTCACTCTTTAAATGAAAATACTGCCTTCCCTTTTTTAAATCTTTACCTGTTTTTATTTTATATAAATTTATTTTATAAAAATTATATTTTTAATTATTAAATCATAAAAATGTTAAAAATAAAAAAAAAATACATTGAAATTTAAGATAAAATTATTTAAAATCACATTATTTTAATGTTTACAGTTTGTACAATTAGTATTTGTTAGAGTTATAGAACCAGCTATAAACCTTTAATATTATACTTTTTACATTTAAAATTTGTCGCGACCTTTTTTTATAACAACAGAAAATTTAAATAGTATAATAAAACTATACTAAATTTTTTCAATATCAGTCCAAAGCTGATAAATTTATCATATAAGAATTAATTTCAGAAAACTGACTTTGTAGAGCCACAGCTAGGTTTCGAATAGAATACGAGTAGAAATAAAATAAACGTCAACACATTCTACATTGTATAGCAAAACACTAAATAAGAATCGAATTCGTCAAGATCAAGTATATCTGGTTTTTTTTTTGTTACTTCATTTTGATTAAGACTATTAGAGCTTTCAAATTTATAGAAATTGTTACTGTCCGAAAAATAAGTGCAGACTTGAACCAAAAACATTTCTATATCTTAACTTGAACTAAAACAACAGAACGTCAATTGGGGTCGAAAAAAAAAAATATCAGCTATCATTCTTATAGTGTCGAGCACTGAAGACCAATGGCATCTGTAACAACCTGTTCGATAATGCACTTGAGATAGAAGTAGTTACATATCAACGATATACTGATATATACTGAGTACCGATAGTACTGATATTCTACAATAAAATAATCAAGGTTTTAAATATTAAATTAAACATGCATTTTCAAAGGTATAATTAAAAAATAGTTATTCGAAATAAAGTACTACAGAGTTAAAAAATAAGCAAAATAAAGAAGTAAATAATATTCCAGTCCTACCTAGGGGTACACAGTTTCTGTCTATCTATTTTTACTCTATACTTAAAACATAATAACTCAGACATATAAGACCTCTCCAACTTATGCGTGCTTCAAGTACATTATCTGTTGAAGCATTTTTTTTATATTATTTAATTTTAGTTTAAAGACGTACATATGTATACTGTAATTTAATATATATATTAATATAATGTGCTTTGTATGTTTATGTTGTTTGTTTTTATTTCTGTTATTGAAATATAAAATATTGTTTTGTTTTTCTTATTAAAAACAATATAAAAATAATATATATCGTTGATTATTATGGCGACTAGTCACATCTGCACAATGAACTGTTTATATTGAGAATAATTAAAAACAAAATTAAAATAATCAATATATACTATAACATATTTTTGAGTTTGCGTCACTAGTATTTAATGCGTTGCAATCGTCTTCTTAAATAAATTATATTTAATTTATATTTAATTTGCATTCTTTATATGTATATGTGCTGG